GGAGGCCAAATTACAGTATTTTATTATTTTGCCTCTTTACTGTGTATTTTATTTATCTCTGTTGTGCTACCTGGTTTTGGGCACTTTTTCAAAAGCCTACTTGTTCCTACCTGCTATTTGTATTCTTGGTAATACCACCGATCTCTATAATGTACCTCTCCCAAACCTCAAGAAGATTTCTACGTTGTATTCTTGCCGCACTGCTAGCTTCATTAATCAGGAGCTGAATGCTGAAATTCCACTTACTGCTCTGATTTTGGTGTTCCCCTGGCATCTTTGTCATTTTCCAGAATCAGAAATTCTGCTCCTGGACAAGTGGCTGCTCATGGTGGCACCCACCAGCCAACCACCAGCCGAATGCCAGGGCAGGTCCTGACAGAATGCAGGTGGCTGTCAGAATTCTCACCCTGCTGAAAGAGCGGTGCTGTCATCAGCCATCCTCTGCCAACAGAGCCGCTGGACACAGTGCAAACTGGTGCCTGGCTGTCCTTTGCTAAATTCCAAGCAGTCAGGGCCACCTATGTCTTGCTCACGGCTGTATCCCGACAGTGCAGCTCAGTGCCTGACACAGTAGTTACTCAGAAAACATTGATGAAGAAATGAAGGGGTTTCTCCAAGGAGTAGTCCCTCTAGCTCAGGGGACCCCAAACTTTTTAAACAGGGGGCCAGTTCACTGTCCCTCAGACCGTTGGAGGGCCATTGGAGAGTGCGGCGCCCACTCCACACATGCGCACCGTGGGCCCGGGACGAGTCGGCTGCTAAGCAGGACAGGCTGCAGTGGCAAAAACACTCGGCAGGCCGGATAAATGTCCTTGGCGGGCCGCATGTGGCCAGTGGGCCGTAGTCTGAGGACCCCTGCTAGCTTTTCTTTTCTGTCCTGGTGGATGCAAAAGAGATGCTCTTTTTCCCTAGTCCAAAGATGGCCCCATCTTATCTGGCTCACCGTGTTGATTGTCTTCTACAGGGTAGTCTGACTTAGAGTTTTGGAAGCAGAGCTTCCAGTAGGGGCCCTGGAAAGGAAGGGAGGAGAACCAAGATGAATTGAATAAGAACGTCCTCTCACCTCCTTCTCTCTTGAATGTTCCCAGACACTCGTATTCCCAGATCCTTCCAGGCCTGGCCCCTGCCCAACACCAAGATGCATCTCTTCTCAACTTCCTTTAAACTTATAGCTTTCATGGCACGTGCAGCTCGTCCACAGGACAGAAGATGTTAAAGACACTTCTTGTACTGTAATCTTCTCTCTTGTAACCTAATCCTTTATGATGACTTCATTTTTCATATATTTATATCCTATCTTCCCGATCACACTATAAAGAGATGGTGTCTCATATTTTTTTTTATTGGTCTCTCTGTCCTGGCGCCACCTCTGGCACATGGAACGTTCTTTCTAAAGTTATTTAATATTTGCCTCCAAGCCACTAGACACTAATCACTCTCTCACTTCATAAAAAAAAGTAAGATAAAGGAGGGTGAGAAGAGAAGGTCAGAGAAGGAAAGAGAGAAAATGGGACAAGGGAAAGAATATGAGGTCATCAAAATAGGAAGCATTGAGCCCAGACAAACCCCAGCAATATGTTAGGTTAAATTTCATTGAAAGCCTGAGTGGGTAGAAAACCCAGCGCTCCTAGAAGGGCAGGCCAGAGACTATGAGCCCGGTCCCCTGTCCCCTCACGGCCTCCTCATACCCGCGTCACTGCTACATTTGGAGTCCCCTTGGCACGACCTCTACCCACTCCAGCAGAGTCTCCCTGGACTGGATTTTTGTTGCATTAAATATTATTTGAAATAAGTAAACACTTAACCACCTGGAAATCGTTGAACCATAGGTTTTTCAAGCTGGAAAAGATATAAAAGACCAGTCAAGACTATAATTCTAAATCTAAGATCCAATGTCTCCTTTCAAAATATGCAAGAGGGTCTGGAAACAGTGCGGAACATCACGTATAAGCCTACGTAAACTTTTCTGGGTGGGGGAAGGATTTATGAACTTTGTCAGATTCTTAGAGGGGTCATGCCACCAAAAAGTCACAGATCACTCCTCTGCGCTAAGCCCTGGGCGTCACAGACCAGAAAGCTCCGAGCAGAAGGGTTAGGTGGTGTGCACAAGGCAACGTAGCTGGCTGGTAAGAGGACCAGCATCACGACCTGATTCTCCTGACTTCCAGCAGCCACTTTTTCTCCTGCACTTACACCTGCCCCCTTCCTCCTGTTTCCTTTGTCATAAAGAGATTTTCTTTGGCAGCGTTCGCTCTAACAGGATCTGACCTGCGGTGGTTGTGGGTGCTTTGCTCCGTTACATTTTAAGCATCTTCTATTTGCCTGCCTTCCTCCACCCTCATGGTGCCCACAGAGATGTAATTTTCTCACTTTTCTTTTTCTATTATCACCTTCTCTGGCCTTTGCCCACTCTCTTTTCTGCTACACGTGGCAGGTCTCTGTGCGCCCTTTTATCCTCCCATCCCGATTTTATGAGAAGTATTTGTTTCCGTGTTTCCTGTATTTGCCTGGATGTATTCTTACCCGGCTGATGGTAAAACTCTTCTGTCTCAGCGGGAGGCTGTTGCTCACAGCAATTACGCCTGCTGTCTTCCTTTTCATTTTCCTTCGGCTCTTGATGAAATTGTGTTTCCAGAAACCCTATGAATTCTTTCTCAGACTCTTACATAACTCAGTGTATTCGACCACTTCTTTTCCGTCCATATTTTTTTGTTGTTGTTGGTCGGGCACTTGGCTCATTTTCTCTCCAGATAATTTGGTGGCTATTTGATCTTCAGTTTTGCTCACACTGCGGATGATCTCCCGCATCCCAATGGAGGGCTCAGGGGCCAGCCAGGTTGGGTTGGTGCTTGTGTCATTAGCTGCAAATAAGTCTGTGAACTTGCCAGTCCTGTGGTTTGTCAGTCTGTTTTGTTGATTTTGTGCTTGGGGAGGATTTTTCATTTTTTTATTTACTCTTTTGGGGGAAAGGGATGTTCATTTGGGTCCAGTTGTAGGGCTAAAGTTTGAAATGGGTCCTTTTTTTTTTTTTTTGAGACAGAGTCTCACTCTGTTGCCCTGGCTAGAGTGCCATGGCGTCTGCTTAGTTCACAACAACCTCAAACTCCTGGGCTCAAGCAATCCTTCTGCCTCAGTCTCCCGAGTAGCTGGGACTACAGGCATGTGCCACCATGTCTAGCTAATTATTGCTATATATTTTTAGTTGGCCAATTAATTTCTTTCCATTTTTAGTAGAGACGGGGTCTTGCTCTTGCCCAGGCTGGTTTCAAACTCCTGACCTTGAGTGATCCACACGCCTTGGCCTCCCAGAGTGCTAGGATTACAGGCGTGAACCACCATGCCTGGCTTGAAATGGATTCTTTTGCTCCAGGTTATATCTTTTCCACCATAAAAGAGCTTGTCCCTTAGGCAAATTCAGTGTGTGTGTGTGTGTGTGTGTGTGTGTGTGTGTGTGTGTGTGTGTGTGTTTTCTGGGAATGATTCTATAGAATATTTTATTGGGGCTGAAATACAGGTTTCAATATTTTCTCTGTAAATAAAACAACACTTGAGGATAAGTTCTCAGTTCTACTCCCTCCACCCAAAACTATCCCCTTGCCCTGTCCTAATTTGAGGTTAAGATTCACTCCAGCCTCAGAGGAGCACCAGCAAAGTTAAGGCAGAAATCAGGCCCTCAAATACCACACTAGCGTTCAGAAGAGGCCAATACAGTCATGGAAAGGGGTGAGGGATGGGGGGAGTTCTAGAGGAGATAGCGACTCAGACACATGGTGGTCCTTTCTTTGGGCTTTGGGACTGACTGGGGGTGAATGTGCCTTAGGAACAAATGAGAGACTGATTGAATGTGGCTGAGCCCCTGGAGCTGGAGGCAGGGAAGGAGCAGACTCATTCTAAGCCCTACTGAATAGGCCAGGGAGTGAGGGAGGGCTGATACTGAGCCTTCCCTATGTTTCCTGGTTGCCTCAGGAGATAGGGCAGGACAGATTCCAGAGGAGTTCATGATGAGCCCCCTCAGGGGCAATGGGGCAGGGCCTGACATCCTTGGTGCTGTCACTATGGCAACTGCTACTACACCACATTCATTTTCCTCTATGTGTCATGGTACCCTGGTGAACTTTGAACTGTGCTGGGGATGCCATCAAAATTTGACCAATGTGTAAACTATATTTTAACTGTCATGGAGAATACCTACTGGCAATGTCTTCCAGATAAAATCTTAAGCCAAGTAGGTTACTATATGAGCCTGAAGTCTGGTACAAGTTTCTGCTGAAAGAAGCAAACAGCTATAGTTTAATGCCAAGTCGTCCTGGAAGACAGAACCAATGGTCAATACAACATGCCCTTAGAAAGTTATAAGACGGTGCAGCCTGAGCAGTTCACAGCACTATGCAAACAGCACTTGTGCTGAAAGAGTATGTAAATAAACAAGGTGATGATGGCTATCGAAAACCTTTCTCAATTTTCTATTTTTTTTTCCGTAAATAGGTATTCAACATTCAAGTGTGCTGCCAAAAAATTCAAATATTCAAAAGGTTGCGTAGGGTCAGATAAGTGTGATTCTTAATCATTGTAAGGGTCACTGCTGATCTCCTATAACAAAAGACAGGCTAACAATAGAAAAGCATAACAGACTCATTTAATCAGTCTTACATGACACAGGAGCCTTCAGAAATGAAGACCCAAAGACCCAGGGAAAATTATTTTTATGCTTAGGTTTCATGAAGAATGGACAGCCATATAGAAATGTAGCTGGACAAAAGGGTATGATCTAATGCTAATAGACTGAGGGGGAAACCCAGCAAGGACTGTTTAGGTCTTCTGGGCCTGTCTGTGTAGCATTCCTTCCTCCTGGGCATGGGCAGGACCCCTCTGGAGTGAGGATCTTCAAGAGAAGAGGGAGAACGTGACCTTTCTAGGTATTATGGTTTGCTTTTGGAGAGAGGGGTTCTCAGTTCTAAGACTTGCCTTCGGGAAGAGGAATTCTGGCTTCCGTGACTTACTTCGGGGAAGAAAAAGAGGCAGGAGACAGGAGGGTAGGAGCAGGTTAGAGAGACCTTGCTTCTCAAGCCTTTCCAGTCTTCAGTTCAAAGTACTTGGCCCTCCAAAGCACCAAACTTCAGGGTATCGTGTTCTGAGCCGCAGGAGTTGCCTTGAGTTCAGAAAGCAGAGTTGGGGCTAGAATTAGTTCATTACATACAATGCACAGTACAGAAGTGATCTTTTGATATTATGTAGCTAAATCTATCAACACTTAGAAGATCCGCAAAGCTCAGTGAACCAACATTTTCCAAGGGGCCAATGAAGGACATTACAAAATCATGCATGGGTAAGAGACTCATTCAAAGTACAAGATAGATCAGTGGGCTTTAATGTAACAGAATATGAAAATGTCACTGATGTGGTTTCAGACTTCATATTATAGCCAGCGTTAAGGAACCACCTCTTACTGAGTGTTGGTGTAGTATCAATGGTGAATATCCATGATTATCTAAAAAGGCTATTTCTCCCTTTTCCAACCACATATCTGTATGAAGCTGGATTTTTTTTTCATAAACTTCAACCAGAACAACATATCCCAACAGATTATATGCAGAAGCAGATGCAAGAATCCAGCTATCTTCTAATACACCAGCCATTAAAGAGATTTACAAAAAATGTAAAGCACCGCCACTCTTCTCACTAATTTTTTTTTCAGAAAATACAATGTATTTAATTTTTAAAATGTATTATTCATATCAACATGTAATGAGCTTGTTACTGTCATTTTTAAATGAATTAATAAATATTTTAAACCTTTTCTCAGTTTTAATTTCTAATATGGTAAATTTGGATATATATAACCCAAATAAACAAAATCTCTTTGGAGTTCTCAATAATTTTTAAGAATATAAAAAGGAGCTGCTATACAAACAGCTAGCTATATTAATATTGACACAATAGATGTAAAGACAAAAATCATTATGAGATACAGAGAAGGCTACTATATAAAAATAAAAGATTCACTGTGAAGTTATTATAGTTCTAAGCTTGTATGCACGTAAGAAAAATAGCCTTAGCTGGGTGTAGCAGTGCCTGCCTATAGTCTCAGCCACTCAGGAGGCTGAGGCAGGAGGATCTCTTAAGGCCAGGAGTTCGAGACTAGCCAGGGCAACATAGTAAGACTCCATCTCAACAAAAAGAAAGCCTCAAAATATATTAAGCAAAAATACAGTTGTATTTTGTCCCTTAGTCCCTTAGTATTCGTGGGAGATTGGTTCCAGGGCTCTCCCTTCCCCTCAATACCAATATTCCCAGATACTCAAGTCCCCAGTCTAAAATGGCATAGCATTTTTACTTAACCTATGCATATCCTCCATATACTTTAAATCATCTCTAGATTACTTATAATACCTAATGCAATGCAAATGTTATGTAAATAGTTGTTAGACTCTATTGCTTGAGGAATAATGACATGAAAAACAAGTCTGCATATGTACAGTACAGACCCCAATTTTTTATTGAATATTTTTGAGCTGTGATTGGTTGAGTCCACGGATGCGGAACTGAAGGATATGGAGGGCAGTCTTTATACACAAAGCATAGATCCACCATCACAAGGGAAAATTGCATTTCATCTCCATCAATTATTAATATTATTAAGTCAAGCAGGAAAAAGTGAGTCCAGAGATTCTATCACTTAGATTCTAGCAGAAAAGAGATGCACCTTCAGATGAGGTGAGTGGAGAGAGTTTAATGAAGAAATGTTCACAAGGCATGGGTGAGGTTAGAGACACCAGCCAAGGACTGTGGAGGAAGCCTCTCCTGAGCTGGCAGCAGGGGCAGTTACCTCCCCAAGGCCTCAAGGGCCTTCACGGGGGTGTGGCACCAACACCAGGGAGACCTGTAGCTGAAGGAGAGGGTGTGGACAAGCTCAGTGGTCTTGGACAGGGGATTGCAGTCTTTGCCAAAATAGCCTGGCAGCGGGGAGCTGGAGGAATTAATACTCCGATTGTTTTCTCTATGGCTCTTCAATCTCGTGCCCTGTCTCCCATTGGCAGAACCCGTGGAAGCCAAGGACCAAGGGAGTCCTTGCTGTAGTTGGTACAGGCCAGCCTCTGCCTGCACAAAGCAGGGCAAGGAAACTTGAGGGAAGCTCTGGAGGAAACAGACAATCCAGCACAGACAGAGGGATCTGAGCAACATCATTTAGACCTTTAGTTTACTGGATGAGACAGAATGCCAGACCCAACAACTAAGGAATATGCCTTCTTCCCAAGCACACACACGGGGAACATTTACAAAAACTGATCACAATTCTAGGCCCACAAGCAAGTCTCAGCAAATTTGTAAAAGTCCGTATCAAACAGAACCTGTCCTCTGATCACAAAATAGTTCAATGATGTGGGATTAGAAAGTCCACAGCAAAAAGACTGGGGGGAATCGGGAGGGAACTCACATATTTGGAAACCTTAAAAACTTACTTCTAATTACTCAAAGAAAAAAAAAAAGTCATGCAAACCTAGAATGTTTAAAAATTAATGATAATGAAAATATTGCATATCGAATCTTGTAGATGTAGCAAAAATAGTACCTAGAGGGAAATGTATATCCTTAAATTCCTATATTAGGAAATTTAAAAACTAAGAATGGATGTGCTAAGCACCCAGAAAAACGATGAAAGTGGTAAAAATATAAATGCAAAAGTGAATGAAATAGAAAACAAAGATGAAATCAAGACGATCAAGCCAAATGTTGGTTCTATAATAAGACAAATATACAAACTTTTTTGAGGCTGATTTGGAAAAAGGAGACGAAAGCAAGAAAGCATGAATGAAAGTCTCATCTCTGCTTCCTCCTTCATGGCCTCTGTCCTGACATTTCCAGCCTCCAACCATCCTTTCTCTTGCTTGCGCGAGCTGCAAGGTCGTGTTTGAAATTAGAGGCTAAATGAGCAAAATACACAACTGAATCTGGCACCTTTACAGAGTCTGTTGAGATTCTGCAGACTCGTCCACATCTCTGGCCAGCAGTCACCCTCTGGGCTCTGTGCCCCCGGCTGCGTGCGAGGGTCCAGGCTGTCCGAGAGCCCGCGTGGCTACCTGAACAAGGATGGGAAGAGCAAAAGGCATGCTGAGCACCTGAAGTGGAGGAAGAGTGGAAGTGAAGCTTCTAGAAAAAAAAAAACCAGTGCCGACCTGGGAAGCTGAACTAGCAAAAGACAAGCGGGAGACGGCGCCTCCATTTTATCCACAGCCGGCTCTGCGCCTGCTATTCATGAGGCCGTGAGCACCACCATTCAGATGGGATTTGGGTGCTGAAGGCCTCTCCATGGCTACACAAAATCTTTTTGTTGTGCTGTTTGGGGAATTTTCTTTTGGTTTTTGTGTTTTCCATTTTTCTTCTGCCGCTTTATAATACCTTTTCCACGGGGACCCCAGATCCCTTCCCAGTGCTCAGTCATCTTTGTGAGATGGAGGCCCGCTTACCGCCACGAGCTATCTCAGCATGCGTGGACCAGAAATAAAACACTCACCCAAATCGTCCAAACCCCAGGGTTTTGCATTCATGGAAGACTATGAAAGGTAAAAAGAACCGTGAACCAGCTGCAAAGAGTCATTTCCAGCTTTATAATTACTGAGGGGAAACAGCATTTCAAAACCATAGGTGTGGAACCAAGGTTGGCCAGGACAGAGGTGCGATAACATAGGCTGAATCACTGCAAATGACACCATCCGTTATAAATTAGTAGTATCAACACTCTATAGATGAATAAACTTAAAACGGAAATACGGCAGTTCATTTTCTCCCATCAAAAAGCTGGTTGAGCCCTTTTGACTCTTGAAATGACCAGTCATTAATCTGCTAAAATGTTCCATGTAGTTGGAGAGAAATCCCTGCATTCCAATTTATTGGAAATTCAATGTGGAATTTAATTTAAAACATCAATATTCTTCCTTCACAGAAACATTCCCCAAATAACTTTCATTTCCAATCTTAATTAAAAGAACAGTCTAAGAATTGTGTGTTATGTTGCATTACACGCTCGCTGAAAAACAAAAATGTACTAAAATGGATTGATACTATTCTTGTGGTGATGACTTTAAAATTCTCACCCTGGCCATTTATAATCACCACAAATAAGTGAAATATGTGTCTCTACTTATTTAACTACTAAGGAAAGAGATCTCATTGTTTCCCAGTCATTTCTTCGATATATGAGAACTATGACTTCAAAAATAATTTTCTTCTGTTTTAATATCTGAATATGATGAGATCTCCATGGATCGTGGTTAGTCTTTTCTGTTTTTTATCTTAAATTTGGATTAATCCTGTATGTGCATAAAGCCACCTCCTATGCTTTTTAATTCTATGACACAGAAATCAGAAACAGTATCTATAGATAATCTTTGAAATTGCCCAATAAGCACAATGATTTGATTCACTGCTCCAAGGTGTAGATCATATTGGCATTTGTATTCCTACTACCAATCAAACCTAAGACGTAGATAAGGTAATAAACCTCTAGTCTAAAGCATATTACACAAGACTGTAACTCTTCCTAAAAATTACCATAAGCAAAATCCAAATGTTTTCTTGTTTCAAACTATTTTTCCTCCTTTGAAATCTGAGCATTATCTTCATTAAAAATTGTAATGCAATTCCATGATAAGTCATGCCAGAAATGGTTGATGAATACGTGTGCAGGCCTGCATTTAGGGTACAAGGGCTCATCTCATTTAAATAAGAGCATGGTTCCTGTGCAGGAACAATACTGAATTTTCACCCAAAACTGCATAAGTCTAGCATGTAAGTGATGTGCAAATGAAGTGCTCCCTGAGCAGGCATTAAATGGGCATTACAAGGGAAGCCCGTAACAGTCCATCATTTCAATGGTCCCAGCCCAAAGGTGCTTGAGTCACCCTGACACAACAGAGTGTGACAGCTTCATAGGCGTTGTTTCGGGCTGCTGGGTCCAGACCACGGAAAATCGGCCCCACGAGTCACTGATGGCCATAACCCAGGCCCTTCACCCCACTTGGCACAGTCGGTCGCTTTTCCAGACTGGGCTTGCCAGCTTGATCCACGGGAGGGAGGATTTTATGTGGGTTTGCTTTAAGTACATGACAAGTGACCGATGTGGAAATAGGCCAATCAGATAATTTTGTGTTT